CCTGCTATAATAGCTAACAGCACATTCAGAATTGAGCGCGAAAAGTTAAAAAAAAAAAAAAAATGGTTGCCTGTAAAGTCGGTTTTACGGGCGAAGATTTTACGTGACAACGTCTTTTTCTCGGTAGAATATTTATTGATATGAATATAATTAAATTGCACAATAGGAACAAGGAATTGAATGAAAATAAGAATTGCACAAATTTTAACTATAGAAATATATTTTGTTTACTAAAAAAAAAATGGTTGCCTGTAAAGTCGGTTTTACGGGCGAAGATTTTACGTGACAACGTCTTTTTCTCGGTAGAATATTTATTGATATGAATATAATTAAATTGCACAATAGGAACAAGGAATTGAATGAAAATAAGAATTGCACAAATTTTAACTATAGAAATATATTTTGTTTACTAAAACATTGTACATGTAAACTTAAACTTAACACGAGAGACTCATCGTAACGTTACCGAGCGTTACACTTTTTCATAAGTGACTCCCAGCCGCAACCTAATTTAAGACGTTGTCACGTCAACATTGTACATGTAAACTTAAACTCATCGTAACGTTACCGAGCGTTACACTTTTTCATAAGTGACTCCCAGCCGCAACCTAATTTAAGACGTTGTCACGTCAATAAGGTCTATTTTCTTTCGCATATAACAATAAGTCGTAAAATTTTAGGAACTTGCATTTTGAATTGCCATAAATCTTTGATGCATGCGTTTTAATTAAGAGCTTATGCCGTATGCATTAAAGGTGACTTTTTTTTAAATAATGCATTACATTGTTTTTGACCACGCGATCATCTTACGGACCTCTGTGAATCGTCAAATGTACCTTTTGGTCACGTTTCGGCCACGATTTTGTACATGTTGTCGTATCTAGGGTATAAAATATCGTTGTATAGAATACTTTTTGTAACGGAAAAATGTCAGGTTTCTTTAGGATTTTCAAAAAACTAAAGTTAACGTGGATGAAGTCGCGGGTGGTAGCTAGCATAAAATTTGATAAGTATTTACGAAGTTCCTTCAAAATCAATAATTTGGTTATACTTAGGTTATTTTACGTGTGCTAAGTCAAGAGCCACGGACGTCACCGTATTAATATTAAATTCATTAAGTCTGTATATCGCATGTGCCTTTCACGAGAACAGCAACGAGCAAAATCTTTAAAGAGATATTTAAGGTGATATCTTACAGACTGATGCGAGAATCAAAATACAGTAACATTACGTGTTTTATTTATTTCATAGGTTTCCAAAATGTGCCAAGATGAAGGAACTTTGGATAAGTGCAACTAAACGTAAAGATTGGACTCCAACTGTAAACAGTTACATATGTTCTCGTCACTTTACCACTGACAGTCACTCCCGCAAACAAAACGAACCTGTACCGAGCCGATGAGTAAGGCGCCTTAAGTTTTAAAAGTTGTCATAAACAGCATATTATTGTCTATCTAGATATTTTTTTTACGTGTTTTTTGTGTTGCTTATATTTTATTTAGTATGTAGTTACTAGTCGCGTCATGTAATTAGAACGCTGGAAGAAAGTGGAGAGAGTATGTTTGCGCATAGCTACACTAGCGCACCAAAGTACTAGGCCTCTGTACAAATTTATCGATAGAAAATATCGATATTTTCTAAAATCGATCTTACCCTCATCACTTCGCTGCACTGAGTATATCATCTGACCTTGACGTGTCCAATCACAACGCGGCTGATCTCCCTGCACGCCGCCGACTTTGGCGATTTTGATTTCAAACAAAATTTGCGTGATGCGGACTCTAGTGGGGGTACTCCGTGGACTAAGACTAAGACTACTGTCAGTCACGATATTCTCCTTTCTATGCTATCCCATCTTATGGTCTCTGACGATGTGTTGACTTGATTCTCTTCTTATCTTCGGGACCGCCGGCAGTTGGTCCGGTCTGGGGAATATTCCCCATCCTGGCGTAACCTTGAAACTGGTGTTCCCCAAGGCGGTATTCTCTCTCCTCTTCTTTTTTCAACTTTTATTGATTTTATCACTCACAATCTTCAGTGTTCGTATCATCTATATGCTGACGACTTACAATTATATACTGAAGCAAGCATCGACAATTTAAACAAAGCCATTGATGCTCTAAACAGTGACCTAGTCGCTATTAAAACCTGGTCGGAAAAATTTGGGGTCACTGTCAATGCTTCAAAATGCCAAGCCATTTTACTAGGGGGGTCAAGGATGATGAGCAAAATTGACATCAACAGTCTTGGTTCCATCATTCATGACGGTACTACAATACCTTTTAGCAACGTCGTTAAAGATCTGGGCTTGTATATCGACTCGAGTTTTAAATGGCAGGAACAAGTTGGTAGTGTCTGTAAAAAAGTAACGGGAACCCTGCGTGCCCTTTATCGAATGAAAAATTTTTTGCCGGTCAATATCAAGGCAATGCTTGTGCAAACCTTAATATTTCCCATAATTGACTATGGTGATTTGTGCTACCTCGACCTGAATGCAGATCTACTCAACAAACTTGATCGCCTTCAGAATAACTGCATTCGATTCGTTTTCAATCTGAGAAAATATGACCATGTGTCCGCATACCGATCTCTCTTAAAATGGATGCCCATTAGGCAGCGCAGAAGTATGCGGGCTCTGACAACCCTGTTCTCTTTGGTGGATTCTCCAAATGCTCCCCCTTATCTCACTTCTCAATTTCAGTACTTATGTACCTCTCATAGTAAAAATCTTCGATCTTCTTCTAATCGTTTACTCATCGTTCCATCACACTGCTCCGATATTATTCACTCTTCCTTCTTCGTAAAAACGATACTTTTGTGGAATGATCTCCCGCTAGATATCAGAATGTCCCCCAGTAAATATACCTTTAAAACCAAACTGCGAAGCTTTTTATTAGAACAGGCGTTTCGTTGAGTGGTTTGTCGTCATTATTTTGTATTTATTTTGGAAATATGTATGTATTTGTGTATTTATTTAAATATATTAACTTATGTATGTGTACGTTTATATATTATTATTTATATTTATTATTTTTATAAACTTCAATGTGATTTCCACTTCAGTTGTGCACCCTACCACTAATAATATCCACAACATCCTATGGTTGACTGGTAGAGAATGCCTACGGCATTAAGTCCGCCATTGTACATTTGTGCATAAAGAATAAATAAAATAAAAAATAAAATAAACATCATCCAAATCCCACAAAATTCTTCCAGCTAGGTAGTCTTCGAAACATCGCTGGAAAAGGATATACTGTACTTCCAGGGCCCAAAAGTAAAAACTTCACAGTTTTGTTGGTTGTAATTTCGCACTTTTGTTGTTAAAAAAGTTTCTGTTAACCACATTATTAAAAAAATGTCACACTTATGCACTGGTAGTTTTTTAGAAAAAAATATTGAAAATTTTTACTTTTCTTATGAAGTGGTGATACTTCACACTAGGTTAGGTTAGGTTAGTGTTGTGACCATAACGCGCGAGCCGAGCGAGCAAAGCGAGCGTGCCGCGGCAGCGGCCGGCGAAGCGCCAGAAAAAAAAAAACTGTTAAAAAGACCTTTTCTACAAAAAAAAACAAGTATCACCTTTTGGGCCCTGGAAGTACAGTTTTACCCTGGAAAACTTTAAAAATCACTTCCCGCGTGCCACTCCGATTTACTTTACTCATTTTTATACCTTTCTGCGTAGTTTCGTCTTAATTTATTACAGTTTAATCCAAACAATAAAAAATACAAAAGGAAAACTGTTCCACAACTGAAACTCGATGACAGCTGATGTACATGAGTTTGGTGTTGCCAGACACATGAATAATGTTAGTTCCTCAAACATTCATGTCACATATAGACTTAATGCCGACCATAGACATATGATGCCGACAACAGTGTTGCCAACTCTACGTCTTTTTACGTAGATCTACGTATTTTAGGCCTTTTCTGAAAACCTACTAACTTAAGTCCCAGAATCTACGTATTTTCTTAATTTTTTTCAAATTTGTAAAATAACTTAATTCACTAGAATAAAGAAGAATATTTTATATTGAATATTTAAGAAGATGTATCTAAACACTCTTGCATCTTGTAGAAAAGGTTCCCATTATTGGTTTTGTTGACTAAATTAATGGTGGACGCAGGATTTGTGAAAGCAGAAACGACAAAACTCTTTTACTTAGTAGGTACATTCATAACCTTAAAAATTGTATTTTTAAACTTTTACTATTATCAATGAGTACCTACTCACATCGAATTGATCTTTGCAAAAAGAAAAGACTTTCAGTCGATAAAGTTACAGGATTTAGCAAGTTTTAAGCATATGTTCATGTGTTAGTATGTTTTTTCTCTTGGCAATTTAAACCATAACTTTTCTAGAGTCTTTTACCAAGTGTATCATGATAACTACTATATTTTTCATGTGATCTATTAGAAATCATGGTTTTATAATATTAACTTAGAAAGTTTATTTCCTACGTGCTTGCGAGTGTTTGTTTACAAATGTTTTGGCGCCATAGCATAGATAAGTCTATAGACTAAAGAGCGTTTTTGTATGTCTTCTAGGTAAAAAAAAATTTTTTTTCGTTCTGATAGAATAATTACTAACAATTTAAAACATAATTCCAAAAAGTGTCAACTAGCCCATTTAACAACAGTTTATCCTTGTCATTCTCTATACAGAATAAAAAGGAGAGACTGATGTTAAATTAAGTTTTAAATTTAGAGACCATCCAGAATCGGCACCCACCAGTGTCTGTGTCTGATGGTAAATGTTTACCACAGCATGGTAAATGCTTCCAATGCAGCGACATCTCCAAGAACTCTTCGTTCTATATCCCGTTCTTAAACAAATTGTATAACAAAATACTCGTTTTATTCGGTTTCAAATAACTTCTTCATTTCACTCAGAAAAAAGTACGTAGATCTACTTACTTTTCATATGCAAAATTTACCAATTCTACGTAATTTTCTCATCGGGCCTACGCCTTTTTCAAAATCCGAGTTGGCAACACTGGCCGACAAGCCGCCAATTTCGGCCAACCAAATCCGCCATTTTCATTTTAAATTAAAAGTGACGCTACGCTTTTTGAAACGAGGGAGGAATTTCCAACATTTGACTGTCGTTTTAGTGATACTTCGTTTACCAATCACAAATCTAGAATATCTGTATTATTTGTGACTGTATTCTGTGATTTGGTAGGCGTTTGCCTTTGTTCTTAAACATGGATGGACCCCCAAGCCGTGGTTTCCGTGGTGGTGGACGTGGCGGTCCTCCAGGACCAAATATGCGAGGAAGAGGTGGTGGTGGATTTGATATGCGTGGACGGTAATATAACACAACTGTTACTTTAAGTTTATTGACTGAGTTTTATAGCACGTTTTTATTTAGGTTAACATCACATTTTTATGTTTAAAATTTGGCCATAGGTGTATCTATATGTAGGTACATAAGTTTCTCTAGCCAAGTTTAGAACGAATTATTAAATATTAGCTCCGAAAAATTTGTTTATAATGATATGTTTTAGAGGTGGTGGTCCCGGTATGCGGGGACGTGGTGGACCCATGAGGGGTGGTCCTGGAGGTCCGCGAGGTTTCCGTGGAGGACCTATGCGTGGTGGTGGAGGTGATCGGGGTGGACGTAGCTTCCCGCCGGGGCCACAAGGGCCTGGCCCACATCCTGTCCCCACAATCGAGTCCAGAGGTGCACCTCCTCAAAGTAAGTATTAAATAAATTAAGATTCAACCATGATAAAATTTGTACTATATTGTTAAGTACTTATCACCACTTCGTCTATATTTACAGGAGGATTCAACAATAGAGGTGGGCCAGGTGGAATGAGAGGCCGAGGAGGAAGAGGTCGTGGTGATTTTGTCCCAAGGGGTGACCGAGGTGGCGGTAGGGGTGGAATGCCAATGAGAGGTGAGAGAGACGAGATACTTTTGTTCATTCATAAAAGTACTAGAATCCAGCAAACCAGCTTTGTTGATAATTATGTGCATCTTTTAAATTTATAGTTTGTCATCTTCTTTATTTCTTTTCATTTATATCATGTTACTGAGATTCTTGCTGATTATGGTCAGTTTAGGTCTTCCTTTATAGATTTGCTTACTGATGGTGTAGCTTTTTGCTATCACAGATTGTGCTTGTATTGGGAGAATTACATAATACTGCATAATGATTACCCCATATATATGGGACCACTATTTTTCTTGGTTCTTAATGTTCCCGCTGAAAAACCAAGGTGCTTTGTTGATGATCATTAACTTCTACATTTTGATTGGGCAATGCATCCTGTCACCAAATATATTAAGAAAAAGGTAATTTTTACAAATTGTGATTGATTATTTTGTGTATGTTACACTATTTGTTTGGTTATGGGTCAGTGCAAGTTGTGACTACATTTCCATGTGCAATATATATAACCTGTTGGTTACTTTGTCTTCGTTTCTTGTCTCAAAAGTCTCAAATTCAAGTGAATATATCCATCGAATATTTTTACTGTAGTTAATTCTTTAATTGATAGTATTTCAATTATATATATATATTATATTAATAAAATAATAATTAACATTATTTTTTAGTATGATTTCTCATTATAAAAATAAATGCTTTTGTTTATTCACTCACAGTAAATGTAGGAGAGTGCCTGATGTTCCTGAATTGTACCTTTAACATATCCAAAATATACAAAAATTTTAAGTTCAAAATAGTTCATTGGAAGTATTAGTTTAGTTTTTTTTCTTAGTTTTATTTATTCATTCACATTGAACATATCATTCCAAATTTAATCACTTTTAGTCACTAGGGATTAAAGCACTATTTTGGTTCCTGTAATGTATAATGCGATTCAAATAAGAATTGGAAAGCCAATGACCTTTATCTGTCAAATGTCGCTTGAAAAGTACGGTTTGCAAAAAAAAAAACTTGGAACCCTTTTTTAGCACTCTGCTAAATCGTCAACAAACAATAACAAATATTGATAATTAATATCGGTAGATATTTTTTTTTTTCACTTATTGAGCTTTGGCCATGAATGGTTGATAACCTAAATCGTCCACCAAATGTCTCTTTAAGTTGCGTTCAGAACTCGATATCTAACTTTCATTAACATAAAGGATGCATGATCGTATGTGACCTAGTAATAGTGCATGATTATTCATAACTACTCAGGCGGTAATGCTGAAATGAGTTAAATAGAAGAGCTAGATTCTGATTAATGTTTTTTCTCAGTCTATTCTATTCTATTCTATTTTTTGTAAAGGCTGGCTGTTGTCTCCTTAGACAATTCTGCCAATGTCAGGGTTGAGTACTACAGATGATCAGTTTTTTTTTGCAGTTTTACGTATCTTCCAGTATTGGCCGGTTGAGTGACCTAAAAGGGTTATATAAAAAGGTTATAGACGACACAATGACAAACACAACAGTTACAGATAAAAGCGTTAGTAATAAATGGGATTTTAAAATTTACAATTTAATTTTATTGGTGTGTATATACTTAGCAAGGACTTGTATGAAGGGAGAGTCCACCATGGTTAGTAAGTGGTTTACATTCACAGGGCGGGCGATATTTTTAGGCAGTATATCATAAAGAGAGATGGTATTTTTTGGGCAATTGAAAAATATGTGATTGACGTTTCCTTCGTCAAGACCACATTCGCATAACGAATGGTCCCTAACCCTAATTTTGTTTAAGAAGACGGGGGAGCATATGTGACCAAGACGTAAGCGAATAATGGTAGAAGTGGAGATTTTATCCAAGAAGCGGTATTTAAAAAACCACGGCTTAGAGGGAAGAAAAGGCTGCAGACTTCTATAATGTTTCCCTTTGAACTGCGAGGAGTCGTCCCAGTGTGCTGACCATTCGCGATATGATTCGGCTTTAGCTTTGCTTCTTAGATCTTGGGCAAAGCATTTATCATAGGTTGGGCAACCCATCATTACAGCCTCTTTTGCAAGGCTGTCTGCCTTTTCGTTACCTTTAATGCCAGAATGACCAGGGATCCATGAGAGGGCAACATTTATATTTTGAGAACGGCAGTTAAACAGAAGTTCTCGGATTTTTAGAGTTATATAAAAATTTTGCCTGGCACGTAAAGGGAATTTTAAAATATCATCCAAAACACTTCGGGAGTCTGTGAAAACTATTGATTTGTTAAGTTTTTCAGAATGGGCTTCAATATATTTAATAGCTTCATATAAAGCAATGGCTTCACCCGAAAAGGAGGACAGTTCTGGCCGGCATTTAAAGCTTAAAATTATTTGAAAGCGAGGGATCCAAACAGCAGCACCTACAGCTTCTCCATTGGTTGTTTTAGAGGCGTCGGTAAAAATCGGTGTCCAGTCAGTCCATTCTTCTGCGATAGTTTTGTTAAAAATTCTGTCGGCGCCAGGTTCGTTTTTGTTAATATTAAAAAAGGTTAAAATGTTTGGTTCGAATATTAGTGTCTCATAATTTACATTAAATGTTGGGTTTCCGGGAAATTGTGCCATAGGGGGTCCCCCTATGGCACAATTTGATCAATTTTTCGTAACTGTTAGCTAAGCGGGGCGTGGTTTTATGTATCCAGTATTTAGAATTAGTAATGAGATTGGAAAGCTGACAAAGTCGAGAAAGCAGTGGGTGGTTAGAGTTTTCGGCTATTTTAAACAGGAATCGATCTGACAATAATTGTCTACGGATATTAAGAGGAGGATCCCCAGTTTCTACCTGTAGGGCATTTGTCGGAGAAGATCTCATTGCACCTGCGATTATGCGGAGACACCTAGACTGTATTTTGTCCAAGGAAGAAAGGGAAGTCTTATTGCAGGGTTCGAGTAAGAAAGTACCGTAATCGAAATAGCTTCGAACTATTGCGTTGTACAGAAGTTTTTGGCAGTAAGGATGAGAACCCCACCAAACACCTGAGAGGGCTCTGAGGACATTAATGCTTTTCTCACATTTATTATTGATATAATTGAGGTGAGAGGCACCAGACAAACGAGAATCTAATATAAGGCCTAAAAATTTAGTTTCATCTGTGCATGGCAATTCTTCCTCACCCAAGACAATAGGGGCGTAGGGAATTGTTCTTTTCCGAGAAAAAACTAGTACATTACTTTTGGATGGGGCTAAGGATAAACCATGTTCAGTTAACCACTCATTGAGATACCTGAGAGCTGTATTTAGTTGAATAGAGCAGTCTTGAACTGAGTCTGATGCAGAATATAGAGCTATATCGTCGGCATATTGCACGATGTCACAGAAGCTCTCAACACATTTTTCAAGGTCGGCTGTATAGAAGTTATAGAGGGTGGGGCTTAGTATTGATCCTTGAGGGAGCCCTCTCCAAACCATTCTAGGTGGAAGAAGACAACCCTGAAGGCGAACTGAGATGGAGCGTGCGGAAAGCATGTTAAATATGACATTGATCATCCTCACGGGAAGACTCAGCTGATGCATTTTCTGCCTGAGTAGCGGAAGAAGAACAGAGTCATAGGCTGATGTGACATCAAGAAATACACCGACCATATCTTGCTTTCTAGAGAAGGCGAGGCGAGCATCCGAAATGAATACACTAAGATTGTCCATGGTACCCATGCCCTTCCGGAATCCGAACTGTGTTTTTCCTAAAATATTATTATGTTCGAGTATCCATTCGAGTCTATTTTTAATGAGTAGCTCCATGATTTTCGCTAGCACCGAGGAAAGGGCAATAGGTCTATAAGAAAGCGGATCGTTAGGATTTTTATTAGGTTTTAAGATTGGGATAATTACTTGATGCTTCCAGGAGTCAGGAATTATGCCTGAATCATAAATTTTGTTAAGAAGCGCCAGAAAAAATACTTTAGAGTTTTCGGACATTTTTTTAATAAATGAGTAGGATATCCCGTCTACTCCTGGCGAGGAGTCACGTAAATGAGTGAGAACTGAAGATAATTCATTAATGGAAAAAGGGTCATCGGTATGATTATGCAAAGATATTGAGTGAGATAGGGGAACATTGTTGTTTTCATAAAAATCTTTATCTGGGACAAATGGAGGTGCCAGTCTATCCATGAATTCCTCGATCCAAGCAGAGGAATCTTTTGAAGGTGGCGGGTTATCCGAAAAAGACCCTCTAAATTTTTTTATTTTTTTCCACATTAATGATAGTGGTGCTTGTGGAGATATGCTTTCGCAAAATGATGTCCACCCTTTACGTTTTTTACTTCTGAGAATTTTTTTGGAACAAGCTTTAACTCTTTGGAAGTTTAGGTAGTTGTCAAGGCTTAAATCATTAAGATATGTCTGCTCTGCTTCGTTGCGTTGTCTAATAGCCTGAGTACAATCGGAGTCCCACCAAGGTGGAGAGGATCTATTCCGGCCAGGTGTTTTTTTTTTCAGAGGGATTGATAATTCTGCAGCGGAGAGCAAGGAAGAAACAAATTCATTGTAAAGGTGCTCAAAATTTGAACTATCTAGCGGAGGCAACCTTTCTAATTTTGAGTCCAGTATATCGCGGAATCGGGGCCAATCTGCTTTTTCAAGTTTAAATTTACATAGAGGAGGGTAGGGATCAGAAGATATTTGGACCTGATGAGTGAAGGAAATGAGGATTGGAAGGTGATCACTTCCATGAGAGCACGCTAAGACGCGCCAGATAGCACTTGTTGAGAGGGAAGGGGATACAAGGGAAACGTCGACGGCGCTAGGGTTTTGGAGAGGAGAGGTGCGGCGAGTAGGGGAGCCATCATTTAGAAGGCAAAGATTGACGTTATCCATTAGCGCTAGGAATTGGGAAGACAGTGAGTCACATAAAGAGGATCCCCATAAGGTATGATGAATGTTAAAGTCTCCTAGAAGTATAGTAGGGCCCCGGAAAGAGGAGAGGATATTCTCTAAGGAGTCTAGAATACTAGTAGAGGGGTGAGGGATATACACAGAAAAAATATTAATACCAGTGATGCTTGCACCTGTAATATAGAAGCCGGAGTGATGAGGTATGGGGATAGAGACATAGGTGAGAGAGCGGTTTACAAGAAGTGCGCAGCCCTGATAGCCATCAGGGCCATCATCTCGCAAGCATGTAAAGCCTGCCAATGAAAACCTACAACTTTTTTTAAGCCATGTTTCTGCAATAGCAAAAACATGTATTTTGTAAAGATTATCTAAATTGGTTAATTAAAATTTTTTATTCTGTATACTTCTACTGTTCCACTGTAGAATTTTTAGGTCCATTATTAAGGGATGTATATAGAAATCGGTACAGTATTTCTGAGCCATTGTACGGTAGGATATCGTTAAAACGGGTTAAACAGTTGAGAAGGAGTTTCATTAATAGATCGGCAAAGTTGTCGTTGGCAGACTCTTCATAGTCGGCTTCTGCAGATGCATTGAGAGCACAGCCATTATGTTGGCTGGATTTAGGTGTGCTAGTGATATTTCTATGGGCTTCAGTATCATAGCCATTACCCATAGTTGGTTTCGGAGAGCGTGGAATGTGTAATGTTTTTTTGTATGATGATACAGATGGGCGGTTAGGGGACGTTATAGTTTGTGATAGGCGTGGATCAAAATGCTTCTGGGAAGGGGACATTGGGGAGGAGGTCATAGAGTGAGGTGAGGCTGATCTTAATGTATCAGCAAAGGTGCGACGAATAGGACGGAATCGGAGGGACGCTTCGGAATATGGGATATTTTCTTCTGCCATGACTAACTTAATTGATTTTTGCCTACTGTGCTCTGGGCAGCTAAAGCTTGTGGCCATATGGGGGCCCGAACAGAACATACATGAAACTTTATCTTCTGGGATTGAACAAGAGTCACCAGGGTGATTTTGGGCACATTTATAGCATCTTGGCCTTGATCTGCATTGGGCCTTAATGTGGCCAAAACGACAGCAGGAGTTACACTGTATTGTAGGTAAATGGTAAATTTCCACAGGCAGGGAAGCATTAAAACAGTAAACTTTCTCAGGAAGCTTCTGTCCTATAAATGAGATTACTACTGTCTGAGTAGGAATCCATATAGTTTCACCGTTTTGGACAGATTTTCTGTTCAATCTCCTTGCTTTATAAACACGGGAATTAATCTGGGGACATTCAATATTACCAACTAATTCTTCCATGGACCAGTCAATGGGGATGTTCCGGACTATGCCCTGACGAGTCACATGAAAGGAGGGGATTAATGCACACAACTTATAGTCATTCAGGATAGGGTTTGTGATGAAATTGTTTGCAGAGTCAGCATCCATGAATTCTACCAAAATTCGATTGCGTCCTGATGACTTTATACCTTCCTTTACAATGCCAGAGACTCTGTTTTTATGTAGAAATTGAGCAAACTTGAGCAGTCTCATAGTAAGACCAGTTGCTGGATCGGGTTCAGTTCTAGATACATGAACAATGAAAGGGGCCATATCTGTTTGAGAGTATGTGAGTTTAGAGCCTTCCGCAAACTCCGGGATGATATAAGAGTGCTGTTTGGAAGCACTTGGAATGACCGATTTCATTTTGGCCGGGATATCAGTCGTCTCAGGACATGTTCTCTTACGAGAAATATGGTCTATCATTTGGCCAGCGCGACCGCCGCCCCCGTCAGGGGGCACATTATCTACGTCCATCTAAGCTACAAAACACACCACAAAACACTTACCAGTATTAGTAAAACACACACCACGTATAAAAAACACAAAATATTAGTCAATCACCCCGCACGTGTAGTAAACAAGTACCCAACAAGCAGCGAATGCTATTTTCTTTTTCTCAGTCTTAATAAATAAATATTATTAAAATTTTGTGTTTCTTTTTTCTCAATCTTAGTCAATAAATGTTATAAATAAAATCTGATGCTTTTTCTCACTTAATCTTAGTAAATAAGTTTTATTAAATAAAAACTTTTTTTTGCTCACTCTACCTATTTGGTTTGAATTGACAGCTATGACATCACAATATGGCGCCCAGTCGGTCCTATTCTTAGTTGAATCGCATTATAAACAATATTCAATTCAAAAGAGTTATCAATATGTTCATTTGAATAAATTGTATTTTTATTTCCTGGAAACAATGAACATATGTACAAGCTTTTTTGAAAAGATATAATAAAAAGTATAATGTAATGCCCAGGGCGAAGTGGTCGCGGAGGCCCCGGCGGAGTAGGTGGGGCTGGAGCGCCGTCGAGCGGGCCCAACATTCCGCCGCGCGCTGCAGCACCGCCCGCGCTGTCCCAGGGGCCGCCCTTCAAGCGCGGCGGAGGACCCCCGCACGGAGGTCCCGGCGGACCACCCAAGCGAGGACGGTTTGTATACAGCTACTTGACTACTGCACTTAGTCCTAATCTTTGGACTATAGATGTAAAACAACCGATTTAAAATGTTTTAAACAAAATGTTGCCGTTTTAAACCCCAAATAAATCGTTTTAAACGGTTGACAACTGACATACAAAAATAAAAGAACTATGTTTTTTGCAGTTTAACATGGTATTTTTTTTAATTTGATTGTACTAGTTCATTATTTACCAGTCATCATAAATAACAAACCCCTATGATAAAGATACAAAAACTACATGCAAACGTACCTACAATCAGGGGGTCACTTTTAAAAACACATTTTGACATACAACAAGATACATAGAGATGTTAACTGTTAAAATGGGCTTGAGACCTGACTGTACATGATGTTGTTATTGTTAGCAGACTCCATGCATGCCCCAACCTACCCCCTGTTGTATTCGCGCCTGAGAAGTGTGCGTGCGCGGCGCGGCTCCCGGCAGTTTATGTATGTGCATGTGTGTGTAGGGTAGGCGAGCTGGCAATGTTTGCGTCGAGTAACGACGAGTGACGTCAACGAGAGTGCGAGAGTGTGAGTTTGGTTTTAAACCGAATCAAACTGATTGAATTGATTTATATCGTTTTAAAACAATGTTTTTTTTTATTTACCTACACAAGAGTTTTTAACTTATGATAAGAGTTTTTATAACATAGGTAATACCTATGCTTGGTCGCGGATGGACCAACTGGATCCAACTAGACTCGGTAAAATAAAGACAATGTAGTTATAATTAAAAAAAACATAGTCATCAACACCAACCGTTTTAAATTGGAAAAAATGGTTTATTTCGTTTTTAAACGGTTTTTTTCGTTTTAAACGAATTGGTTTTAAACCGGCCTTACATCTTTACTTTGGACCATTGTGCGTCTCTGGAAACATTTCACTTTACTTTAGCCAGCCTAAGTTGTTTACGCTGAGTTCCTTACGTAGTTTTTCAAGTTCTGGCCCCCACCAGGAACTTTTACCCAGGTTTTTAGTACAATGGTAGGACACGTCAGTTCATAGCTTTTAAGAAGTGCTGAAGTGTTCCTATGTCTATCGTTTGGTGCCTAGAGCAGAGAAATGTGGACTCCACGCCATTATTTATAATATTGGGGTTAGTTTTGAATAATTATTCAGTTAACAATTCACCCCTTTTGTTTATGTCCTTACTTCCACACAGTGAGTGATGTGTGTTGCAGTAAGCCGCTACAATCAGCTCCCATTTGGCGTCCTCGCAGTGTCGTACCATCTCGGTCAGCTCCCTCGGAAGAATTTCACCCTCATTCGGCATGTAGACTGAAGCTAGTACCAGGACTGTATGATTATTTGTGGGGATCATCACAGCTGTGAGGTATCTAGAACAGAATTGGTTAAGCATGGTTGTTTTCTTGGACTTGGGTACAAAATGCATATCCTTGGGTTATCAATAGATGTGTTTAAGTGTAACTTACCGTCGATGTTGTTCAGACCGCAAATCCTGTTGTTTCTGATCCGGGGTTCCTGGATCAGGGCGACGGTCTTCTTGTTCGTCTTCAGCACCCTGTGTAGAGTGGCCGCCGCCATTTGCTTCTGCTGGAGGTTGGTTTGTATGATGTTGGTGTTGGTTCGACTAGGGACTACGTAGGACGCCATCTTCATCAATAACGCAGTCCTCAAGAGTTAAGGCTTGCTTCCATTTCCATCACGCTCGGATCCGGTTGGGGAGCTGAGGTGGTTGGTACCGGGATCGCAGTGCCTTCCTGCTCTGTAGTCGCATTCAGTGTTGCTACTGTCAGGTCAGTTGGTGTTGCTTCGTCCCTGGCGCGCAAAAGTGGATGTATCCGCTGCCAGTCATGTGTGCAAGACGGCGTTCTCTGTCCAGTATTGTTTGCTTTTGATCCTCGGGGATTACCAGGATTAACTGGACCACCTTCTCCTTGGAATTGCTCTACAGTTTGACGTCAACCGTCATGTCATAGCACTGCCAGGAGTCAATCTTGTACCAAGGGTTCTGGGCACAAAGGACTCGCTGCAGTGTTGTAGTCTCGGTGATGCGGGTATGAAGAATAAGCCCAGCTCGTGAGTTTCTTTTTCACATCCGACAACTTGATGACTGTTATGCCGGCGCCTGACAGGAGTTCAAAGAAGTGATCACTTCTTTGAAGACTTTGCTCACACATTTGGTCACATATTGTTGTATCTGCCAGATATGTGTTCAAACATTTGATCACTCCTTTGAGCTCACAGTTTTTAATTAATAGACTTCACAGAACATGGACGACGATTTGGTCGACTCAGTTTGCTTATATTATTTATGTGCGAATAATTATTTATTACACGCGCAAATAAATAAACAAAAACAACCAAAACGAAGACGTGAATGGATGTGTGAAATGTATCGTAATAGAACAAGGTAAGTGAATTTTATTTTATTTTCTTGATTTATTTTTATATTGTAAGTGTTGATAGCTGCTATCAAGACTTATATAAATAAAAATAAATAAAAATAGCCTTTATTCCCTGATATAGTAATACTACTTACTGACTAGCCGTATTACTAATTTCCTATTGCTACAATTTGATTTAATTTTACAATGCTTACACTAATAAAAGAAAATTGGTAACACCAGCACTATTTTAATCAGGGTGTCCTCCTCGGACATAGGCCTCCTCTAGAATTTTCCATTTTATCCGGTCTCTTGCTAATCTACGCCATCCTTGTGGTAGGTCATCCTCCCATCTTCTCTGTGGCCGCCCTCTTGTCCTCTTCCCATCTCTGGGGTACCAAGATACGACCTCTTTGGTCCATTTTTATTATATTTTTCCACTGAAATACTATTGCAAAAAGTTTCCCCTTTAATTTCAAAACTAGATACAAACTGGAGAATAGCTGTTCCTTCCAAAGTGAGATTGGCATTGACTTTAAGATTTTTAGCAACAGGCGATAGTTATATGAGTCTCCAATATCTATTCAAAATTTCAGTTAATTTCTACCATTGTTTACGAAGTTTGTAAAGCTCTGATTTAAGTCCTTAATGAGGAAGTAAAGGTTAGTAAAAAAAGTGTTTAATATGTAGGTATTATTTTTATTTATTAATGATATCAATAATCGTCGGTATCAGTGTCGTCGTCACATTGGTTATATGCTTCTTTTTTAATTATATTTTTATGGTGTGCTCTTGGGGGTATGATAGTTTGAGAAATAATCTTAATTTGTTTCTCATTACCGACTTCAGACTTCTTGAGTAGATTTTTTGAAGTACTTGGTATATTAGAGTTTTATAAATTATTATTGTCTGAAGTATACAATGCATAATTAGCAGTTTCCGGTGACAGTTGAACTTCGGGCAGATTGATTTCAATCAATGGTTATGATTTCACAGTTATTTTGAGCATTGGTGTCCTGAAATGGTGTTGAGGTGCGATTATCGTAATTTAAAATGGATTGTGAATTTTATCATTGGTATCAATAGAGTGGATGATCCAGGTAAATTAGCAGGCTGACGATAAACTATTTGTTGAGTTTGGTTCATATAGGTCGAATACGCACTTGTTGGTTAACTGTTATGCTGTCTCACATTCATAGTATATTTGAATACTATATTATCATCTCATTCATTAGCACAAGCCTGTCATCTATTTGTAAGAGCTTCAATTTCTCAGCTAGCAGCTGGCCATACAAATCACATGCGTCTTTTTTATTTTCTTCACGATTATATCTATTGTTAATTAGGGAAAAAGCGTCATCCATCTGTTTCCTTGCAATCAGCATATCTTGCGCTCCAAGTTGCCTCTTTGAGGGAACAGAATCAGATCCATTTCGACTGTATGATTCCCGTGATGCTGGCCTAAGATAAGAAGTTTCTGTTGAGTCTGTTTCACGTGGCTGTGGACTTTCTTCTGTTCTTTCCTGCAAAATAATAAGTGTTACTCAAAACTAATGCAATGTCTGTCATTTTATCTGTTTCAGCTACCCACATCACCAAATGATTGGTTAGTAAAAGCAGCTGGTTATGAAGCTGTATTTCCAAATTGTTTAGGAGCTTTGGATGGCAAACACGTTGTACTACAATCGCCTATACACAGCGGATCAGATTTTTACAACTACAAGAAAAGTTTTAGTGTTGTTCTTTTAGCTCTAGTAAACGCTGATTATCTTTTCATGTTCGCCGATGTTGGTTGTCAAGGTAGAATGAGTGACGGCGGAGTACTAGGTAGAATGAGTGACGGCGGAGTACTAAGAAATAGTCTGCTATGGGATAAAATGAATGAAAATACGCTAAATTTACGCAACCCGCAACCACTACCGGGAAGGCAAGCTAATGTGCCGTATGTCTTTGTTGCTGACAGTGCACTTGCATTGAGTGATACCGTGATGAAACCGTACCCGGGTCAGCACCCAGAATACAGTAAGAAAAGGAATTTTAATCGCGCATTGTCAAAAGCAAGAGTTAAAGTGGAAAATGTTTTTGGAATAATTACATCAGTATTCAGAGTTTTCAAACATCCCATGCTTCTCCAACCCGATAAAGCCTCAATAGTGACTATGACTTGCGTTTATTTGCACATTTTTTGAGAAAAAGCAGAGCATCACAACATATCTATTCACCACCAGAATCATTTGATCGCGTTATAAATAGTATATTTGTACCCGGAACTTGGCGAAATGAAAACCCACCCAATGGTCTGATCCCAGTTGGTTCGCATCCTCGAAGAGCAGCAAATTCTGCACAGAATATTAGAGAAGAGTTTGCAGAATATTTCGCTACAACGAGATAAAATTTGGACATAATAACTTAAACTTAGTTGGTTTTTATGTAAATAAGCTAAGAATTTTGTATTATGTGTTTGTATTGATTGATAATAAAGTATGTACATAAAGAATTGATGTAGTTATAATAATTATTTATTTAGGTACTACTTACCATAGCCTCAGTAGAAATTGTCACACGGTACTCATAGACATCACCCATGAAAGTATGGAGGGCATCAAATGCAAACCATGAAGGTTTGTAAATATCGTCAGCACTAGATCCAGTTTTTGTAGAATCTTTTATTTTTTTTAAACAATCTCTATACTGTGTCAACAAAGTATTCCTTTTTCGCTTCAATTCTTCGATAGTGCAAGGTATTGAAAAGTTGTGTTTAATTCGAATCCAGGCGTCATTGACGTTATTTCTATTTTTGTGCCCTTCACGTTTCGGATCCCATATATTTGGCTCTCCTTGTATCAACTCTATAAACTCGAAAACGCTCTCGTTACTCCACTCCATCGTTAGTTTGTTTACGCACGACAAAACGGAGTGTTACTTTCTGTATGCACACGACAGCTCTCTACGGCGACGCTCGCGCAACTGGGCTTCGCACAGGCGTGGCAGGTACACAAACATTGGACTTTGATCCCTTTGATGTGTGCTAAAAAACCGACACCGAACGGCAAAGCGCACTTAAGTGTTCACATATGTGACAATAGTATCAAATGCCCGTGCCACACATGTGAACGCTTATGTGATCACATATTTGAACACATGTCTGGCGCCGGCATTAGTGTAGTGTTTTCAGACTTATTTACACTTACAGAGCCACTTGAGTGCGTTTTCATCCTCACACCACATTGCTAACACCCCGTCCAGTTGGTAGGAAGATGCCTGCGCATCCAGAGACTGGAGTCAGAATAGCTTACAGGATGCCATCTTCAATGCTTTCCTTCAGCTGCTCCACCTGCTCAGCTGACGGGTCCCTCGACGGAACGGTGGTGACAGTGATCGCCGAAACTGTGGCTGTAGTTATGGCCTCAGCTGTGCCTAAGGGTGTGTGGTACAATCTTTTAGGGGGTATTTAGTTCTCCTAGGCCATGTGGGCCCGGGTGTGGATATGCGCCGCCACGGTTCGGCTTTACGGGATTTGTGGTACAGCCAGAGGTTTCTGTTATGTCAATTAAAGAAGGTGATTGACCAAACGGCAACCTCTTGAAGGATAGTCCTCTGGCCTTCATTAGGGGATCTTTGCGACTTGCGCTACTCCCACAACCCGTTCGCCAAACCCAGTATCGGACAGATACTGGGAGTAGGTGCTCATCAAGCAAGGAGGAGATTTGAGTTTAAAGATTTTTTGTTTGACCATCCGCCGCTCTCCATGTTGTGACCATACCCGCTCGCGCTGTCCTAGGGGTCAACTGCCGGGCCATTTTTAGGCTAATTGGTGTAAGTGTTAGAAATATTTATTTTGAATTAAGTTTACTATCTTAATAATAATAATATATGGTATCTTTAAACAGGTTTGATGGCCCACGGGGAGGAGGTGGTGGGCGTCCACCACCATCGGGTGGCTACCAGCAGCAACAACATAATGCACCACCATCCAATGGCTACGGACCACCATCGTATGTATTAATATTAAAAAAAATCTTCGTCAATCATAACATAGATTTTGCTGCATCATAATATTAATGTTTCTGTGGCAGCACCAATCACTAGTGAACTGTGGTTGTAAAATTTGTTTTACTTTTTGTATGAAAAGAATTTGAACTTCTCCAAAAATGTAACAGGAATAAACTGTACTGAATGATGATCCAGAAACACGATAGGAATGTGCCGTCTGATACATATATGACGATACTCCCAAAATCTGACATGTCGTAATTGAAAAATTAAGTTTTATTTTTATTTTCACTGCAATAATACAGTCTTTTTGTTACAGGCATACAGGTTATCAGCCGTACGAGGCGCCAGCACAAGATCCTTATGCCCAGCAGTCATATAATACTGCCAGGTACCTAATAATATAATAGCAATCTCAACTAGTTTTAAAATTCAATAAAAGATTTATTATAAAAAAAATTTAAGCATTATTTGCTAAATTTATAATTTGTTATTTGATTTTTTACTAGAAAAAAATCCCATGTGATCCAGGCATTTAATAAAAGATGATGAATACATTCGCACAGATAGGAATTGCCGTCTGATACAGACATGCAGATAGCGTATTTTCTGAATTTGGATCCTTAATTTTATATATTTTTTCACAATTTCCTTCTATTTATATGTTTCTTTACTATGTCAACAGCTCATACCAGGGTAATAATTATTCGACGCCAGCTGCCTCGCAGCCGTCAGGTTACAACTCCGGTGGTTATGGCTCGGGGGGTTACGGCTATTCTACTGGTGGCCAAGGTGGCTATGAAAATGATGGTTATGGGTAAGTTGATTTTTCGTATCTGATTGTTTCGTAACTGTAATTTTTAAGATGATTAAGACGCGATTTGTCCAGTTCATAAGTTCGTTCAAACGCGCGTGCAAACGGTCCCTTCATCAGTAAAGTTGAGCAAAGTAGTAAAAGGATAGGAAGGACATTTTCATAGCTCGTCGATCAACCGATGCACAGTGGTAAAATTGTCTTAAAAGATGGTCAAAATTTATAAAATTGAAGTAACTCTGATCAAAAAGTAGTAACCTAAGGTCTAATTTCACAACGTTTTGCTGATTTGGTATTAATAAATTTTATACATATAAAGTTAAACAAGAGCAAAGTTGTAACATTTTTAACATTATACTCTAAAATAAAATCAAATAGCGCGCGCTTCCCCAGCTTTCGGCCCATTTCACGAAATCACTCCCATTAATTGCAAGAAAGCAAGAGGAAAGATATTACACATCAATCCTATTAATACTATAAATGTGAAAGTTAGTGTGTTTGTTACTCAATCACGCAAAAACTACTGAACGCATAAAACGCTTAATACTAGCATGCCATACAAAGAATAACAAAATATATTTCGTCGCATAGCGGTAGCGGGCTACGGCGCGGGCGAGGCCTACGGGGGCACAGCGCCCGCCTACAATACTTTATACTAGCTTGCCATACAAAAAAGAATGGGTGCGTGTACTTATGTAGGCGCGTGAGAAGTTATCCTTCTTTGGCATCGTTTAAAATTAGTTTTTAATTGCATGCAAATAATTAATTACAATAAATTAATAAAAAGTCTGGAAAAGGACACAGTCAATAAAGTTCAGTTTTAATTTGAAAAAATAAATAAATAATCAAAATATTCAATTAAAATCGCTACTGAATATAATTTATTAGAACATATGTGATTTGCACTTGTATGAAACTCAAACACGTATTCCGAATATACAAACTAGAAACATGTGGATAAATATTATAAATATGAATACCTATAACTGTTACTTTATTACAAAAAATAAAGATGTGGTTTTTGGTTCTACTACACCAATGGTCAAGAGATGGCGCTGTAGTCTCCTGAATCGCGCTTTGGTTCCGTTGTTCCAGATTAATAAATACTTTTGATAGGCCTTCACAAGGCAGTCGTTAGCACCCACAAAATAGAGATTCTATTTCTATTTTGTTGGTAGATTTTCTTAATGTGCGGTAAACACAAAAGTAACAGCATGAAGTTGGTCGCTAAAGCAACCAACTTCATGCTGTTAATTTTTTGTGTTACAGTGATGCGCGCGCATCTTAAAATTTCACTCTCATCATTTTTTCATAACGCGCCTAAAGAAGTATAACTTCAAAAATAACACAATATATTTGGTCGTATAGCGGTAGCGGCGGCGCTGGTGACGCGGGCTACGGTGCGGGCGAGGCCTACGGGGGCACCGCGCCCGCCTATAATACTTTATACTAGCTTGCCATACAAAAAATAACAAAATATATTTGGTCGTATAGCGGTAGCGGCGGCGCTGGTGACGCGGGCTACGGCGCGGGCGAGGCCTACGGGGGCGCGGCGCCCGCCTACGACTCGTACTCGCAGCCCGCCTACAACTCTTACCAGCAGCCGCAACCACAGTCGCAGTACGGCAACAACTATGGTAATTATGGGAAATATTAAACTACTAAGTATTCATATCAAACAAACTAGTACTAATAATAGAAACCAAATATCGTTTCATACTATTCTCTATTTAACTTGCTCTGAGACAAAAGGGAAACAAATGTATCCTTACGATGGCTGGTGTAACCAGACTAATTACAAAATTTCTTAGTTCAACGTAAATTATTTGATTTATCAGCACTCTTCAAGTTAGTAGATTTATAATGCATTCATAGTTTGGTAATAGCTACAGTTTTGGGAATTTTTAATGTCTAATAATATTTTTTGATAACAACTCTCCATTGAAAAAGCTTTTTATAGTTTGTTTACCTTTTGTCTCCGAGAAAGTTAATAGGAGTATAAGGTTTTTAAAGTATGCAATGCTAGGTTAGTTTAACTGATATGTTTCAGAAAAGAAATAGTATTAAGTATGGTAGGTTAGAATGGTATTTTTTTTAAAACAACAAAATCTGGTTGTTGTTGAACGAACATATACCTACTATATAAGAAACAAGAATAGTGGTACCTTACATTATGATGAGGAAAAATATGTGGCCATTACCATTTTTCATATTATTATTTCTTACAATTTATTAATAACAAATGAGGAAACAGGCTATAGATGTACGAGATAGCTTTAGAAATCCATCCATATATAATAAATAAAGTTTGTCATAATTTTGTCTGGTACATTAATGCTTATAATATTAGGTACTATGTGGTACTGTTATTAAATTACGAACTAAGTGCAGTTGTAATTAAATTACTAGAATATCTTCAATGGAAGAGTACTATGCATTATTACAAAATATAACGTAGTTTATTCAGATTTTGAATAGAAAGTATTAAATTTCTGTTTTATAACAATAGAACTTAAAGAGAGATATTCAATAGAACAGTACCACATTTCTGGTAACGTAAACCTTTCTTATAGGTAAGGATTAAAGTACTCAAGGAATCAGAAAGAATAAGACTTATTTCTCTAAATTCCATTTATAAGTAAAAATATTAGGTAGGTACATTAAGGTTTAAAGAGTTATTTTTGTTATACCATTTATTTCATATGAAGGTGTATCATTAATGTTATCCAAGAGATATCTTTATAACAGTATTGAAAAATGAGTTTAATCTAAGCATCTTTAAAATTGTTTGCATTACAGGCAGTTGGTGATCTGTTTGACTCTAACAGAGTATGATTTTCATCTTATACCACACACTCGAAATATTATAGCTGGATCCAATTTAATGAAGCATTATGGTTATATACTATTTGTGACAATGTATTGTGTTAGGTGTAATTGAAGAGATACATATTCAGTATTTCAAGTTTTAAGTATGTGACTAGTAATGTGTGAATTGACTAAATGACGTAATGTATTTCTTGGGACTATAAAAAAATGTTTGCATTGAAGGAATGTATCAGAGAAAAAGTTATTGTATAAAGTATGAATTCTCTATAAGCTCCACAGATAAAAGTTTTTACCAAAACATCTTTAATCTACTTTATTTGTAGGTGGACATACCTAATATTCTTAATGGTAGGTAGGTACCATATTTTATTTAGATTTTAAGCACCAAATAAAATTATGAAAATAATTGTGTTGTATTGTATTTATTTGAAAGGAATTACTTTCATATCTCATTCTTATGGAAACTGAAAAATAAATTAGTGTATTAAGAAAATGGTATATTTTACTCTCGCATTTACATATCCAGGATTTTAAGTCAAACAACAAGGCAATGGTCAATTTACATTAAACATAAGACGTAACTAGTCACTTACTGAATTTTTCAAGGGGAGATTATCTGATATCCATAGAACTGAACATTTTTAAAAATTTGTAATTAATATGCCTTCAATGATTTATTAACTAGTTAATAGTTTTTATATAATTTTAAATAATCTTATTAAAAAAAATCAAAGCAATTCTGAATGAAAGTATGAACTGAAATTTCAAAAACGTTAATTGATGAATCATAATAAATGATACTGTGGTATTTTTCCTGACTCTAAAGTTTAGGTATCCAGTAAAATGTAGAGAGAGGATTTACCTCTTTATTTTCAGGATTATAAGGACTGGAGATCATAATAATCTTTTAAATATACCTATTCCTCAGTGCAAAATAATGCGACCAATTGTATAAGAACATAAAAAAAATACAAAGGTATATATAAAAGATAATCTACTGCCGTACCTGAAACAGTAACATGTGTCATATGTTTCGCAACCCATTTCAAGATGTATATTATAATAAGCATTTAACAGTACCAGGTAACAAGAATTTTTATCTTTTTTCATAACATAATTATAAGTTCGGTAAATGCTCATTGAATTGCTCATTTTGACAAAAGTTCAAATGAACCATAATTGAGAATATAGTAAAAATAATAAATATTAGGTTGGTAAAATGTCTGCCTCATATATTAAAATAAGAATTTAGTTCTATAATATATTTTTTGATCTAGCATATTATTATGGTAGGTGCTTTATAAAATTAAGTAATTCAATATATGACGACCATCAAACATATTTCATCTATGAAGAGCAGGCAATATGAGCTTGCAATTTTATTAATGTTCAAGGCTTATAATAATATTCAATAATAGACGAACATCATAGTAACTGTACCTATTCAAGTATCCTTCTTTCGTAGTACAATTGCAAGTCATATTAACAGAATGACTGGATAATGGAACCACCAAAAATATAAAAAATAAACCATACAACAACATTTGTATTGTTTCCTCTATATTCGAAGTACAATTTAATATAGGATAACAAGTAGATATCTCTAAAATTACTTTAAAGAAGTTTTATATTTTTAGGCTTCCATACCCAAAGGGTAAAAGCGGAACCCTATTGCTGTCGTCTGACCGTATGTTACGGGTCTCTAGATCGTAAGAAGCGTTCTATTAGGCGACTCTTTTAGAAATCAATGAAGAATTAGTTAGAAATTAGAGATATTGTTTAAAATATAAATTAAAAATATGTCTATATAAATAATTTATAGTAAATCAAAATGTAGTTTTCTGTCTGCGATAAAGTCTTACGATATTTTAATTATTAATTTAATTTACAGAATATGGCTAGAATGACTTCATGAAGTTCACGTTTCGTTGAACACTTCTCCAACTGTACTATTGAGTTTATGAATCAATGCACAGTTCTACGCAAGAGAATCTCAAGTTAATGAGGTAAGCTATAGATAAATTAATAATTTAATATGCTTTTGTGTGTGCAGATGAGTGTTTTTGGCGCCCGGGCCGTGTTAGATTTGTCTCCCTTTAATACAAATAATGCAGCCTTTTCAAAAGTATTAGAAAACTGAAAATTCTGTCTTATTATAATATTTAATATATATTATACAAACATGAATATTGGTATTTGCTACTTCTGAATTGAACAGCATTCACTCCTTTTCATTCATTAACTTCTAGAACTTTATCAGCCTTTTAATGTCTCCACTGCTGAGGCACAGGCCTTCCGTATTATTGGTATAGATAGATAGATTCCACGCCGGCGCAGTTCCGATTGGTGGGTGTTTACAACTGCAGATGCGATTCTAACGGATTACATTTAAAGGAGATTGGCGAATTTCCATAGGACCTTGGGCCTAACCGTTACAACGATAATTTTTAGTCAGTTTTGTTAATAGATTCATACAGATTTCATATATGTTAAAATTATAGTTATTCTACGGATAGTATAAATATCGATAATTAAATAACCAAAAGTTGGGTTATGTGAGGTTAGTCAAATTAATGAATTCTATTCATTGAAAGACTATTTAAATACTTAAATCTAAGCTACAAAGGATTCAGGGGGCTCATGACATCTCCACCGCCCTCCCCCTGACAACAGTATGATGATTAATTTTAGTAACTATTGTTTTAACAATGACATGGAAATAAGTAGTGCTTACCTAACAGAAATAGAACTTACGAAATATTTAACAAACAAAGGATTCAGGGGGCTCATGACATCCCCACCCCCTTCCCCCTGACAACAGTATGATGATTGATTTTAGTAACTATTGTTTTAACAATGACATGGAAAAAAGTAGTGCTTACCTAACAGAAATAGAACTTATGAAATATTTAACATACAAAGGATTCAGGGGGCTCATGGCATCCCCACCCCCCTCCCCCTGACAACAGTATGATGATTGATTTTAGTAACTATTGTTTTAACAATGACATGGCAAAAGTAGTGCTTACCTAACAGTAATAGAACTTATGATTTCAAAATGAGACATTACCTGACTACTATTGGGACATTTCCCAAAACACAGACTCCAAAACATTACAAAAAGGCTTTTTCTAAATGACAAGGAAACAAACCTGGAACTATCCCTGCTTGGGCTATTATTTACCTATATAAATATAAAAGTCTTTATTATCAAATGTTAATAACTACAAATGGAAACGCTATCTGCAGAAGTTACAGACCTTTAGTTCTGTAATCTGAGGCAGAAGTATTTACACTGTGTTGCAAACAACAACACCTTTGACTTATGCGTTACAGAGTTCCAATAAGTTTAGAAACCATATGATTAAATAATAATTTATTATGTGTGTTTAGGAGGTGAAGCACCTAGTTATACCATTAATTAATGAGCAGTCAAAGTCAAAAGTATAGCATGATATGTATGTTTAGGTATCATAGGATGATTATAAATAAAAAAACAAATTATCATTTTACGATGATGAATAAATGCTTAATTTATTCATCATCGTCATCATCATATAAAATTAATCCATCGCCTAAAAATTGTGCAGGTGGTACTAAATCTGGTTGATACCTTGCCCAGCTAATGTACCATATTATGGACATTGTGTGACAACAGCAATCTACTGTTCTTTTTCCAACTAAACAGTTACAATAATAACCGATTATTGCCTCTCTACCAATAAGAGCACTGTCAACTAGAATATAAGTAAAATATTTTTTAAATAAAACTAGTTTTTACGGGTTAATGCAGGAAACTTTATTTATTTATTGACGTTTCGTAGCCTTTACAGGCTTCGTCGTCAGAATAAAACTTTTATTTAATTTGTCGAGCTACCTTCGAAAGACTTTTATTGAGCGTTTGGTTATTTCATTGTTTGATTTTTAAGTTTTATTGTCTATGTATGAATTTATTATTTAATTTACTTAATAAAGTATTTTATTTAAAATTCTTTTTTATAATTTTGAGTTTATTTATTTGACCCTGCTACCGTAAACTACCACCGGTTCCAAAATTGGGAGACCTTTCTGAGAAGAACCGGCGAAACAAACTCAAGAGAGGCTTTCTATCTCCTTCTTATGTTAAATTATGCAAACAAAAAGGTCTCCCAATTTTGGAACCGGTGGTAGTTTACGGTAGTTAGGGTCAAATAAATAAAATTCTAGGAAATACTAACCGTAAGAGGAGCAATCCACTGTTGTACAAGTGAAAGTATTGCTTCATCTACCAACAAATGTATGCCCATAGCATTGCTACGAGCAGAACTGATGCCACAGTTTATACAGTTTTGTGTGTTCATCTTGTAAAATGTGCAATCGGAAGCAATCTTCGGAGTCCAAGTACAGAAGCCATAGTCAGACGATCAGGTAGGTAATCAATATCCGTTGTGCAGGCGCAAGTTGTTTGTGATAGTAGCAATTGTCAGAGTCCGTATTTAGTAGCGAGAGTCGTTGAAAATAATAGGAAATCCCAAAAACCACATAAAACTTACAAAAAACCAAAACTTGAAACCGCAACCGAACGAAAAGATGCGAACCGAATGTCTTATCTGACATTTTATTGTTGCCAGTTTAAAAACAAGTGTAGCATCTACTATCGATTTAACGCTACAATGATTATTGCTAAAAAATAATTTAGGCTTCCTTTAAAAAAGGAATTGCAAAATATGCACTATTTTATTGATTTATCATTAATTTGGAAAGATTTAGACTGACGTTTGTGTAAAAAAGAATAATTCAACAAAATCAATAAATAAAACAGCGGAAATGTCATAATCGATTAAATCGCTACTTTTGCTGTGGGCAACATTTTCCCCCGACGGATACGCCATGGAGTCATGCAATCAATATCGTTACACTAAATTAATGTTACATTTCTTGTCCCATAGAATAAGGTGTTGATATTTTACGATAAATTCTAATAAATTGCTTAATGAATTTTAGTGATATTCTCATTCCTGTAACGGTTAGGCCCATTTCCGCCGATCTCCTTTCACAGCACATTCGACCATATACAGTACATCATAGTTTTCGTAATTGTAAAACTCGTACTAAGGGTGTACTGCCCGTTGGATGTAAACGCGCTGTGGACGGCAAACCGTCAACTGCGCGGCGGCACGGCGTTTACCTGTAGAGTTTGCAAACTTTTTTGACATTTACAGTATGTAATAAAAGAGAAAATTGCATATCTATCGATGCTTTTCAGAACAAGTATTATAGTAGTTATAACAAAGCAGTAATGGATCACTAAATAACTAGGTGAGTAGCACTTCCACCTGTCAAAAGCAGTTAGCGAATAGGCAAGGTGTCCGCCCGTGGCCTACACGACGCCTTGCAATTTTCTCTTAGTTACACAAAAAAAAAATGAATTTGCTTGTTTGAAGAGTTTAATAACTGTAATATAAATTCAAATAAGAATTTGTCTTCTTTTTTATTTCCTTGTAGGTATAGTATAAAGCACTATCCCTCGAAAGAAAGTGCTATTCCCAACTCTGGTGTATTCATCCTCATTGGTAAATTGATCACTTTCACTTTGTAGTCTCCTCTCGGTGAATAATGTACTATTTCTAATCAAACATGTGTTTCTAACATTTAGGAACGGCACTTCACTTGGCTATTAGTATTTGCTATTTTGTAAACTTGACAACAGTCTGTCCTTATCATGCTTTTAGAACGAAAAGGGCAGACTGACCCAAGTTTCAAATAGCAAACACGATTAGCCAAGTGAAGCGCCTGCATTAGATGTATATTATTATTAACAGAAATAAAATATATTTTTTATTATATTTTTAGGTATCGCCAGGAGTTGAAGATGCAAAGCAGCATGATGAATACATTTTTTTTATTTTTTTCGTTAATAAATTTGTTGTATATAAGTTACAATAGTTTGTTTTATTTTTCGAGTTCGGTGACCCGACCCAGCAGTGTCACTACCGCTTATCGCACGTTGGCGATTATCATTTTTTTAAAACATGTGAATGCAGTTCTACTTATTATTAAAAATAAAATGATGTCTTCTTTCAGTAAAAACTTACTTCAGTAAGTTTTTGGGAGGGTAGAATAAAACTGTTAACACCTGTTTTTGACAAGCTCTTCAATTATTTTATTTTAAAAATTAAATACATATAATTTCTAGACAAATTAGTGAATAATAATATGTGCTAATAGTGAATAATACCTGCAGCTGTTTTCTCCTCTCTACTACATCTGGTAACTGAACTATACTGCACGGAATTTCACACATCACAAACACACTGTCAATATGGATAATATTAAGAGCACAATTGATTCACTGGCTCAAACTTTTTCTGAGCGTATGTCCACGTTCGAAAATGAGCTCAAGAAGAAAAATGCACCGCAGGAGCCATCACTGCAGAATTTGTCAGCGGAATTTGAAATCTTTCGGAGCTTCGTTGTTACTACTTTCAAGCACCTTGAAATGCAAGTAACATTGCTTTCAATGGAGTGTGACAGCATCGAGATGAGGAGTCGTCGTGGCATGCTGCTGCTTCACGGAGTTCCGGAGAGTAAAGAGGAAGATAGCACCGAGACTTTTCTGCAGGTGACATCTGAGCATATTTGGCGGCGCCTTAACTTGTAGCAGACGATGTAGTGCGCGTCATCACATTGTATCCATGGCTGATGTTGAAAAGTTGGGTCGGCCCGATCCTATTTCCGTGGCCGTTGCGAGTGATGCCCAAGCTTCAGCCTTGAGTGTTGTTGCAGCTCCAAATGCGAGTGTTGCTGTGGCTCCAGTAGCTGCAGCCACAGTCTCTAGAGCCAAGCGTGCTGTTTCTGCAAAGAGAAAATAAGTAACTAATTCTGTGTTATTATGTGTTAAGTAAGTACTATATCTGTATATGTTCACCAAAAAGGTCTAAGTAGCATGAAAAATCTAACCTTATTTTTAAACTATTAATACATAGTCTTTTGTTCATAATAACCAATTTGACCTATTAGTGACTAAATAAAAATATTCCATAAATTATACAATAACAGAAAATATCAACTGATAACCTTGCAGTTTGTGATGCTTGTAGCTTGAACTTTTTTTGGTGTGTGTTTGAATATCGCTATATACTTTTCTTCATATATCTCAATTTTGTAAATTTGTTTCGTACTACACACATCAAAAGTGTCTAGGGATCAAGCATTTTTATGCGGATTTCTTGAGATTGAGATGTGGCTTTGTAATAAATTTATGATTTTATAAATTTATATGGATCCTTTTTGGTGCATTTCATAATTTGAATCAGGAACTGTGAATCAAATTCGAGTAAAAGATGAAAATCAGCTGTCAATATTTTCCCTATAAAAACATACAACGCATTGAAGACATTATTAGTGCTACTGTTTCCCTACTACTGATTAAAACCAACGTTATTATGGAGCGGCGACGTCATTTAAGCAGGGAAGAAATGCTCAGAGCCGTGGGAATGATAGAAGCTGGTTCCCGGCAACGTACTGTGGCTTTAGCTCTGAATACAAGTCAGAGTGTTATCAGTCGACTTTGGACACGATACCGAAGCACTGGTACCGTGGCTGAGCGCCATGGAGGACGGTATCGCTGCACCACACGGAGACAAGACCGATACATTCAAATCTTAACTCGAAGAGCTCCAACAATAACCGCCATGATGTTAGCCGTGAGACTTCATCACTCTTCAGGGAACTTAATTAGCGACCAAACAGTCAGAAACCGCTTGCATGAAGTGAACCTTCATTCCCGAAGACCGCTACGGGTACCACCTATAGCAATGCACAATCGTAGGATTCGATATCAATGGGCTCTTGAACACAGAAATTGGGCAGAAGAACAATGGCGTTTCGTGTGCTTTTCTGATGAGTCTCGTTTTGGTATGAGACCGGATACAAGACGTATACGACACTGGAGAACCCCTGGACGCCAACAGCGATTAAAATCCTGCCAGGAAGTCCATCCTTATAGTGGTGGAACCATCATGGTATGGGCGGGTATTTGGATCGGCGGAAGAACTGAGTTGATTTGGATCAGAGGCAACCTCAACGCTCAAATTTATGCTGAGACGATTGTATCAGACGTCATCGTTCCTCTACAAATGCAAATCGGTCCCTTATTTCAGTTAATGCATGATAATGCACGACCGCACACCGCAAGAGTTGTAAGACAGACTCTCGCCGCAGCTAACATCAATGTCCTGCCCTGGCCTGCTCAGTCGCCAGACTTGAACCCGATTGAGCATGCATGGGATATGCTACAGAGAAGAGCTCTGCCGAATATGGAGGGTATCCAGTCGCAAGAAGACCTTTTTTTGTTGTTGCAACGAACATGGGCGGCCATTCCACAGCGTGATTTGGATGAACTCATTTTGAGTATGCCAAACCGATGTTCTTGTGTTGTTAGTGTTCGCGGTAGAAATACGGATTATTAATTGTTTAAGTTACCCAATAAAATTTTAGAGAAAACTGTTATTTCAGTCTTTTTTTCGAACTTTTGTGTTAGTGGTTCAAATGTCAAAAATCCCTTTATTAGGAAAATGGCAAATTTCTTTATTAATGCAAAGGTGACTTGGTTTATCGTTACTGTGACAAACGAAAACACTTTATTTGATGAATCCTTAAAGAAAATTTTAATTAATATCAATCAGGAGAAAAGTTATTGCAAAAATATATGTTGATCCCTAGACACTTTTGATGTGTGTATTTTTCTCAAGGATTCACTTCATTACAATATTAATTATTTATATCCATAGGTAAAAGCATGGCAGTCAATGTTAGATTCTGTAAATTGATTTTGTCTTAAGTGTCTGTCAATGTCATGTCATTGTTTATTGCTATTTTAACGTTTGTCACGTACGAGTACTATAACAGGTCTACAGACTTGTACGCGTCGCCGTGACAGGTCACTGTTATTTGTACTTTATTGTGTAATGTTTCCTTTTTGTTTCTTGTGTATGTAGTAATTACTATTTATTTATTTTTGTTTGTTAATTTCTTTCAGTCAACCTGTAGGTATTTATATATGTAGTATAGTAAAACTTATATTTTGTTATTATTACCTTTGTTTGTATCGTATAGTTAATTATTTATTTATTTTTATTGTATTTTGATGGATATATCTACAGATAACGATCTCTTTATATCATGTTCTTCCTCTTCTGTTTCCAACTCCAGCTTCCAGAGCTTAGGTACTTCTTTGAATGAGCTTCTCGATGCCGCTTTTTCGGATGTTCCTAAAAATTTTAACGTTATCCATATCAATGCACAGAGTATACCGGCACACTTTCCGGGCATGCTTGCTTCTTTTGATAACCAAAATATTCACGCAATCTTAGTTTCCGAAACTTTTCTTCATCCCTGTCTTTCGTCTTCTACCTATTCCCTACCTGGATTTCAACTGATTCGGAATGATCGTGTAAGTTCCTCTCATGGAAGGGTGGCCATTTATCTTCCTTCTCATATCTCTTTTACTATCCTTAGTCGATCTTCACAGCCGCCACCCCCGAACAGTGCCGAGCATCTCTTAATTGAGATATCTTTGTCTCATAGTAAAATCCTTCTAGGTGTTTTCTACAGCCCTTCGCTGCGAGTCGACTATTTTGAGTCATTCGAACAAGTTCTTGAAAATTTTGTCCCCTCTTATTCCCATACTATAATTATGGGAGATTTCAACACATGTCTTATAAAAGACGATTATCGATCCAAAAAATTACTCTCGGTGATTAATAACTCCAATTTACATATTCTTCCATCTAGAGAAACTCACTATTTTCCTAACTGTACCCCTTCTCTGCTTGATCTGATAATCGTCTCTTCCCCTACCTTCGCCGCTAAACATGGGCAATTTTCTGCGGACGCTTTTTCTTATCATGACTTGGTGTACCTATCGTACCGTCATCCAAAAGTGAGGCCTAATGTGCAGCTTCAGCGTAATTTTGCTCGAATTAATCATGAACACCTGATGGAGGATGCTGCTAACTTGGACTGGTCTGCAATTTTTGCATCCGAGCCTGTGGATAAGCAGATTGAACTTTTAACTGCTTACTTACCGAGTTGTATGATAAGCATGCACCTATTCGCCCTGTTAAAATTAAACATCTGCCGACTCCATGGTTGAATGATGAAATTTGGGAACTGATGGCAAGGAAAAATGCCGCTAAGGCTAAGTTCAAAGTCAATCCTTCGAAGCGAAATGAGATCAAATATAATTTGGTGAGAAATCGCTGCAACACTGTGATTAGGGATGCCCAAAGTCGCCATATTCATAAATCTATTGAAAATGAAGACCCCCCAAAAGTCTGGAAATTCCTAAAATCACTCGGAGTTGGCAAATCTCGTAGCAGTATTCCTAATGATAATCTAAATATTAATCAGCTTAATAGTTACTTTTCCGCTTCTGTGCCTTTAGACGGCTACCGTAAGGCTGCTACCTTACAACGTCTTTCAACTTTGCCAACTCAACATTCTCCTTTTTTCTTACATCAATTTGCTGACTGTGATGTTAAGAGAACCATACAAATGATTCATTCCAGTGCAGTAGGTAGTGACTCCATTAGCCGGAAAATGATCCTTCCCATCCTTGACATCCTCACTCCTGTAATTACTCACATCCTGAATACCTCAATTTCAACCGGTGTTTTTCCAGAATCCTGGAAAGATGCATATCTTATCCCAATCCCAAAAAAATCGAATCCTACCTCTTTTTCCGAATATCGTCCTATCTCCATTCTTCCCTTTCTCTCCAAAGTTCTGGAAAAACTCGTTTATCAACAGCTTGCAGCTTTTCTTAACAAAAACCAGCTCTTAAATCCATTTCAATCTGGTTTTCGTACGGGCCATAGCACGACTACTGCATTGGTTAAGATTTCAGATGATATCCGACGTGGTATGGAGAATCGACATCT